TTACTCTGCATTAACATATATTAAGTTTAATACAAGTACTTAATCACTATTAAATACAATGATACACATTTCTTTTAAATGGCATGTATGGTTACACATAAGAAAATGTTCACATAATACAAAGAGTTTTATCCTAAGGTGTTCTATTTGTTAAAATCAATGTGTTAGATTTAACCTCTCAATCACAACAATTTTACAATTAGATATAATTCGTGACTCTGTCTTTGATCCAAAAAAAGGAAGTTCCATTTTGTCTGTAGCATTCTGCTCAAAAACAATCGCAGTATATTTTTACAGCCATACTTACAAATTAACACTTTTCTAGTGGTTCCATTTTTTTATTTAAATTTTGAACACATTAATGGCCAGAGCATAATATTAAAATATGATAAGAAAATAAAACCACTTGAAGTAAATAATTATTCAAAGATAACTTTCTTTTATATGCACATAAAAGAGATCATAGATTGGAATAGGAAAATTTGGAAGACTTTCAAAAGAGTACTAAAATTTAAGCTTGTATGAGACTCAATACCTTACTTGCAGCCATGCCTACTTTGTTGAAAGGGTGAAATTAGCTTCCTTGAGTGATAGCTCAGTGATTCATTAGAGCAGGGACTATTTGGCTTAATTCTTGCTTTGAACTGAACAATACGAACATTTAGAAGTATATTATACAGTAAATATACACATTTTATGGCAACAAGTTAAAACTTTTACACATTTGGATGATGAACAATTGGCATAGATGTTATTGGGAACTTTTTATGATTTGGAAATAGAAGTTAATATTACACATGCAATGTCGAAGACTTCCAAAAGAGAGTGAATATGTAAGCTCATGTATACCTTACTAAAAGGTGAGGAATAGGCATTCTTGGGTAAGAGTGCAGTGATTAAATAGAGTAGGGACCCTTTGGCTGAATTCTTGCTTTGCACTGAACAGTAAGTAAAGTTAGAAGTACACTATAAAATATATATATATATATATATGTGTATGGCAACAAGATAACACCTGTTTATATTTTTGACAATGGAACCCAAAAAAATTTGGATCACTCACGGTTTCTGGGAAACCACCCAATTTTAAATTGTCACGATTTGAGTCACTCGATAAACGATTTTCAACAAGACTCGTTTGTTCGAGAATAGGGACTCGTTTGTCGAAACGAGACTTGTTCCTCAAAACGAGACTCATTCTTCAAAACGAGACTCATTCGTCGAGACAAGACTCATTCGTTGAGATGAGACTCGTTTGTCGAAACGAGGCTTGATTCAAAAAATAGCTACATGGAGTAACACTCTGGTATTTGCTTCCTCTTGCATAGACCTTAGCTTCCTTGTTGTTGTTCCGATTGTAGAGACTTCATAGCATTGATCCTAGGCTGTTACAAAGATTTTCTTTCCAGTGAGTCTCTCTGTATCTCATTTTCACACTATTCTGAGAGGAATTAGGAGCAACTTATTATTTGAATTGGAAAGGAATTTCCATCACTGGAATGTTTTGTTGTCTACCCTGATGTTTCTGAATCCATGACCTCTTTTTGAGCCTCTCTGCTCTATCTCTCTCAGCATTCTTTACTGAGCTATCTCGTTTAACATCAAAGACTACGCCAATACACTAGATTTCTGTTCCTTCACGCAAAACTATTGAAATCATTCTATCAGCCACCTCTGCAAATGTTTTTTTGTCGCCTCGTATCTTCTGAACCATTGTTATCCCGTTAATAGTTCGTGCACTCCACTTTCGCAACGAAGAAACGCCATGTACTTGTCAAAAAGATGGACAGAATTGACACTACAAGCACTGGTCATATACTTCTGGAACAACCTTTTGCAGATATCATCATATAAATCACCAATCTCACCAAATAAACCATCAACGATACTCTTGGACTGCTTATAATTCTCTTCTATCCAAGGCCTAAATCCTTGCCACGCCAGTCTCATAAGGGCTTCAAACTCAAGTTTGTGGAGTCTAACACCACTATTGTACCTGTGTCCCTGTAGAACTTCTGCAACAGAACCTTCTGCTATCACACCAGACTCTACACACAGGTCCTGCAAGCCAGTATCCTTCAAGCGCTTGCCAGTGATGGACAACATGGTGCATGCTGTGTGGAATACTTTCATTTTCATCGCCATATCTTTAAATTTTGCGCTTTGTTTCCATTGTCCCTTGCTTGGCTTTACATACAGTGTTTAGTCAAAGACGACGACGATGCTCTTTAACTTGAGCATATTCTTTTTCTTGAGGGACTGCACTAGAACCTCGTGAAGAGTAGCCATATCAGTAGCAGGTACATCGATATTTGGGAGACATCTGATGACATCCAGTGAGACTTGAACCTCATTATGGACAGAAATGTTAAATCCAGTCTAGCCATTGCCTTTTTGGCCACCCCGCCAGAAAGAGTTTCCTCCAATCTATCAATATTATCCCACGCGAGTGTTGTGCTGATATAAGGCTTGATAGTTTCAGGCAAAGGAACGATCCCATGCCCACATTGGTGTGGCATCTGGATAAGTTGAAATTGTTTGGCATACGGTAACAGTATTTGCTTGAGTGGTTTTTGTAGTCCTGGAGTAACTCTGTAAATGATGTCCTGGCCAAAAGAATCAACAAAGCTCCAGATGCGATCAGGATATTCTGCTGGGATATGTGTGTTCCCAGTTAAGAGAGTGTATAGAAACGCATCTAGTTCTTCTGGAAGTTTGACTGGACTTTCACATAGCTCCACATGTTTCAGAGGCCATGACATCGTACTAATATTTGGGAGAAGTGCATCACAGAAGTACAGGCCAGCTTGCCAAATTTCCTTGATTTGAGATGCACAGATTTTGGGGTAGAACAAAAAGCTTTCTATCAACCAGGAGATCTTCAATTGCAATAAGTCACCCAATTCTGTTTACAACTTTCTTCGAAAATTTTCAATGTGGATTTGAGTATTTCAGTAGCGTACATTGATAGCATATAAGACGTCAGCTTCTCTTAGGTCAATCACCTGATAAGCCTTGGATTTTCCAATACATGTGATTGAAGAAACTCAAACAATTGGTCAAAGCTTTGCGATGTAAAAATAACTTCTTAATATTCGATCACCAGCTTACGAATGTTTGCAAGTATTTAGGCTAACGAGCAGAAAATAATACTTAGTCTTTATTTTTGTTTCATTTGTTAATAAACTTTGACTTTTAGAAGCCTAATCTCTACATTCTGGGCAAAATGCGTCATAAATCGTCAAGGTTACACTAGAACTTCAACGCACTTACCAGGCAGCAATGCTGCCATCTTGGAAATTATTTATGATGCCTTTCGAGTTCACTGTATGTTTTGAACTAGTTTTCTTTTAAATAAAATCGTAAAATTGTGGCTTTTAGCCGAAAATTATTTTGAAATCATGTTTTATGTTGAAGATACTGATTTATCTTCTATAAAGAAAAAACAAAGGAGTCATTTGAAATAATCGTTTTATTGTCAGCCTCGTTTCCATGTTAAAGCAGCATCTTTTCAAATAAAGAAGTACACAAGAAAATGGTGAGAGTTACTCTTTCACGGTTGCTATCGAGTGAATTTGATAAGTCTTTCACATAATCTTTCATCAGGTAACACTCGCATTTTCTACCCCCGAGTGGTAATGAGAACCTTCTCTGGCCCATGGACTATTCTTGTTGTGTGTACAACACGCATGTTATGGTGTATTTCAATCAAAGGATTTCACAGTGAACATGATTCAGTTTGGTAAATCAAGCTAGCGATTTTTTTTTTCAGATGAACTATTCTTGTTGTGTGCACAACACGCATGTTATGGTGTATTTCAATCAAAGGATTTCACAGTGAACATGATTCAGTTTGGTAAATCAAGCTAGCGATTTTTTTTCAGATACAAGACAAATATGGAAGGTTCACATTGTGCAATTTTTAAGCTGATGTTGTTTCAAGATTTCGACTTTGCATCACTAAAAAGATGAAGTTAAAATGGCATTTCTTTCATTCTGTAACAACTTTGAGCTCAAGTCGTATTTGTTAGAAATTGCCTTGAGTCAGTAAAATGATATGCATCTTAAAATTGGAGTGTTCAACACAACGGATGATAGTCATGAGTTTTTGGACAAGATTCAGCTCCCAGGATTAGGTATTCATCATTTAACCATATATCACACACACTGGAGGCACTTGACTTCATCTTCTTTTGCAACAGCCACAGTCACAGTGGCCATGATATCAAGCAAGTCAGGAGCTCTTCCTTCCATTTCTTTAATAAGCTGCTCCAAGTGAAATCTTCAAGGGAAGACTAAAGTGGTACTATTCCTTGTTACATGTATGACATAGAGGCCAGCAGTTCCACGCTTCTGCACACTTTTCATCAATCTCCCCTAAAAACTGTAATCTGACACAAGGTAGCAACATGATAGTCTTTACTGCTGCAGCTGGAATGCTTGTCTGCAATGCAACCCATAGCTTATATACTTCATCCTTTTTTTAAATTTAGCATTTGCATGTTCCATCAACTAAATATAAAACAGAATGTAACTTTCCTAATATTGGTAACTATTTTCACTTTGAATGAAACTCTCTAGAATGTTTTTAATCATGGTAAATTGGACAAAAATTTCGACATGGAATTTTGAATGACACACAAGTATAATGCAGTTGATCATTTCTTATTCCTTTTGGCGGTCTTATGTTAACACGTTCAACACCTGTTTTTCTTAGAGGTGACCCGGGGTGGATTGGACTGGACTGGAAAGGCAGGTCATGACGGCGGCTGGCCATGGTTATTTTAGCTCTCGATTACTGTATGTTCTTTACCTTTACACCTTTAACTACATCGGGAAATATTGCCTAATCGGAGACTCGGAAGTGTCTCGCTATGATGTCGTTGAAGTTGTGAATAGGAGATGCCAGCAGGATGCTTTTATACCACGTTTTTTTACCTGAGTCACCATGCAACTTCGGACGCCATTTTGGATTAGCAGCTCCACATCATCAAGCCTAGGGTTACTACCACTCCAAAGTAAATCGCTATTCTAACTCCAATTCTACTTTCCAGCTTATTCGACTAAAAACAAGTGGGGACATAAGTCTGAACCCAGGTCCGAGTACAGCGAGGAGCAAATGCCAAAAATGTTCAAGAACAATTGCTTGTAACCATCAAGCATTAGAACGCAACCTTTGCAGTTTGAAATACCACATCAAATATGAGAATGTTACGCCCAAACAATATGGCTATATCTTAAAGAGTGATGCAAAAATATGGAGGTGCCCTAGGTGTCTAACACAGCCAGCATTGCCAGTAGATGATTTGCTTCCAGCCATACCATTTACGTTGGTGTCCAACGAATCCTTCCTACCTATTGAAGAAGGACAAGAAGGACAAGAAGGACTTAACACTGACAACGCGATCCATAACGGGGAGGATGGTGAGAGTCATCTCACCGACCTTACTCAACATCTACAAAGTTTTCCAGCAAAAGATTTAAGAGTAGCTCATTTAAATGTCTGCAGCTTAAGAAAGAAGATGGACGAGCTGAGATGTTGATAGCTTTTATACAAATTTGATACGATTGCAATAACCACAACACATCTCGACAAAACAGTTCCGGACTCAGCATTAGATATTAATGGGATGAAACTTTTGCGACTAGATTGGAAAGAGCAAAAGGGCGGTGGCTGTGCCTTATATTTTGCAGAACATTTGCAAGCAACTCAGTGGAAAGATCTGCATTTTGATAGCCTTGAAGGAATCTGGTTACACGTCAAATTTCTGAGTTCCACGGCTCTGTTCGTAGTCATGTACAGGCCTCCTGACACAGATCATTTTTTCAATCTTGTCAACTCTCTTTTAGAAAAGGCATGGCTAGTCCTCCATTATTAAGCGCAAACACTAGCAAACTGCATTCCGTTTTCGAGATGTTCAATATGGAGAATGTCATACAAGAAGCCACAAGACAAACAATAACATCCAGCTCCTTAATTGATCTTATTGTAACCACAAGAAAAGATCTTGTCAGTGCTACAGGTGTATTCCCTTTGGGGATATCAGATCATAACTTAATATATGCGAGTATTCGGCTTAAGAACAAAAGACCGCCACCAATAATAGTCAAAACAAGAGATTACAAAAGAATGGATATAAGAAGTTTCAGAGATGACATAGAAAGTGCGCCATTCCATATTGCGTCCATATTTGACGACCCTGATGATAATTTGTGGGCCTGGCAATACCTTTTTAACGACTTATGTGACAAGCATGCCCCACGGAAGAATGTGAAAATTAGAGGTATTTCCGCCCACTGGATGACTAGCGATATTCGACTCAAAATGAACCGAAGGTACAAACTATTCAAAGAAGCAGTCTCCACTAAATGCCCAAGGAAGTGGTCTGCATACAAAAAGGCCAGAAACAATGTTACATCAGAGCTACAAAAAGTCAAGACCACATATTTCTCTCTCAAATGTTTGGCAAAGTCCAATTGACAAGTGCATACTGGAAACTTATGAGGAGAGCCACTGATCCTAAGGCACAGAAAACCAATCCTGCCTGTGAAGAGACGTAATGCTAATCAGCGGTCATGGTGGTCGGACGTGTTTTTATGTCGTCCGCATTTCTTCTATGTTTTTCGGTTCCTCTACTGTTTTCTGTAGAGGACGCTGAGCCACAGCATAGAGCAAGCTTTTCTTCGTACCCTCGGTCATTCTGGGATGAATTTAAGTCAAACTCGAATGAATTCAACCTGGATCTACTACCGGTCCCGCTGCGTGCTGACGGCCATTTTGCTCCCCTTACCCACAAGAAATTCTTCAGGGCAAGGGTAGCATACTTTACTAACCACAAAGCATCCTTTAACCCTGTGGAAGTCACCTTGGTACGAAGTGGCGATGTTCACCCTCAGCCTGGACCAGTTAAACATTCGGATTCAAGTCAAGAACGCCATGTCACCTTGGCCCATATAAACGCCGTTCTATCAAGAACAGAAATCACTTTATTCTTATTAAAGAAGTTGTCCTAGCTAAAAAAATTTGATATCCTATGTGTCAGCGAGTCTTGGCTGGACAGCTCCATATCTGACATCGAGCTCGATATTCCTGGCTACAATATTTATCGCCTTGACCATACAAACAAACCCGGAGGCTGCGTTTGTACCTTTGTAAAACAAAACCTGAAGGTAGAATGTCTGCAACACCTATCATCTATCGCAAGCTCAGGCCTCCACCAGCTGTGGCTTAAAATTCAAGCAGGCAACTACAGATCCTTCCTTATATGTACAGTTTATAGACCTCCGTCTTCGACTCTCGATTGCTTCGACAACGAGCTATGTGATGCCCTAACCTCTGCGATGCTAATGAATAAGCCTATTTACATCCTGGGTGACCTAAACTGCAACTTGTTAAACTCATCCAATCCTGCTTCTCAAGCCCTTGTCAATTTCCGTACGTCCTTTAATTTATCTCAGATGATAACACAACCAACAAGGGTCACAGAGTCGTCTGCAACCTTGATTGATGTTATCCTGACCTCACATGAAAAGTTAATAATCGACACAAAAGTCATGCCTTCTTCCATCAGCGACCACGATTTAATCTATGCCGTACTTAAACTCAAAAGGCAACGTCCTAAGCCAGTATATATCACGACAAGAATTTTCAAGAACTACCAGCAAGATGATTTTCTCCGGGATATTTCAATGGTTCCTTGGTGCATTGTCCATTGTTTTGATGATATTGACGACCGCATCTACGCTCTTAACACATTATTCAGAGAAGTCCTCGACAAACACGCACCAATAAAAAAAGTCAAGATTCAAGGAAGACCTAGCCCTTACATAACTGACCAGATCAGAGAGCTCATGAAATCTAGGGACCGGTGGAGAAAGATAGCAAGAAGAACAGGTAAACCTGATGCTTGGACCACCTATAAAAACCTTAGGAATGACGTCAAGAGAAAAATAAGATCAGCTGAGCGCACTTTCGCCGCGGACCAGATCACAAGCAATCCCAACAACTCCAGCCAGTTGTGGAAGACTATTCGATCTTTCATTCCAAAAAAGTCTGCCAGCGTGAGATCATTTAGCAAAGATGACAGGACCGTCGCAAACGATTTTAATCGGTTCTTTACGTCTGTTGGCCAAGTTGCTGTTGACAAGATTAATTCACTTGCTAATGAATGCAATTTTGATCTTTTGCCACCTGTGCCTGATCCTGCAATTTCCCCAGTGACTGATCAATTCAATTTTACGCAAGTGGATTGTTATGAAGTCGCCCAGATTGTCAGGTCAATGCCAACTAATAAGTCATCTGGGATTGACAACATTCCAGTACGTGTAATCAAAGATAGCCTTCCTGCTACTCTCCCAGTGATTACATCCATAATCAACGCTTCTTTCAAGCATGGAAATTTTCCTAGATCTTGGAAATTAGCTGTCGTGTCGCCTATCCTAAAAGATGGAAATCACGAAGAACCTAACAACAATAGGCCTATTTCTCTCTTGCCCATCCTTTCAAAAGTATGCGAAAGGGTGGCGCTTAATCAAATTACCGGTATGCCTTATCTACTGTCAAATGAAAGGTTATCTACTCGGCAAAGTGGCAATAAGAAATTGCACTCTACGGAAACCTCTTTCATACGAACTACTGATACTCTCTTAAGTGCGATTGATGAGAAGAAAGTTACCGCTGTTGTTTTACTTGATATGAGCAAAGCCTTCGATACTATAAGCCATGGAATATTGCTCAATAAACTGTTGAACGTTGGAATCTCACCATCAAGCAGTGCTTGGTTTACCAGCTACCTCTCCGACCGCCGACAAGCTGTGCGCATAAATTCTGAGTTATCTGATCCTCTACCTGTTGTATCAGACGTGGCTCAAGGAAGCATTCTTGGACCTATGTTGTTCAGTATTTATGTAAACAACTTACTACTCGCCCCCCTTTCCTGTTTTACTGAAAGTTACGTCGATGACACAAAACTTTACATTTCTTTCCCAGTCCATGACTGGGCTAAATCTGTCACCGATTTAAACGCCGATCTTTTACATATTCGAAACTGGTGCTTCAATAAACGTCTTCTTTTGAATCCTGATAAAACCAAACTCATTGTTTACGGAAGTAGACAAAGGCTACTAAACCTCCCCGATATCTGTCTCTCCCTCTTAGGAAAAGAGCTGACACCGGAGCACGTCGTTAAAGACCTAGGTGTGATTTTTGATTCGAACCTAACTTTCCACAAGCACATTGTTAAAACTGTTTCCACCTGTTTCTCAAGTTTGGCCCAGATTAATTGTGTTAAGCACGTATTTGACAGATCGACTTGAATTACTATAATTAACACTTTAGTAGTTAGTAAGTTGTTTTATTGTTCCTCCGTCTGGTCCAACGCTGCTGACACTAACCTCCTCAAGCTCCAAGCGATCCAGAACTTTGCAGCCCTGATTATTTGTGGATCCAGAAAATTTGACCACGTTACTCCGCTTTTGAAAGAACTGCATTGGCTACCTAATAAATCTCAGCTATACTTCCGTGACGCCGTGCTTTCTTTTAAATGTATGACTGGATCCGCTCCTACTTACCTCTCTTCGAAGTTTCTAACGCGCTGTAATGTTAGCGGTCGCACGACCAGAAGCTCTCAACTGTTGCACATACCATTATACAAAACTAAATCTGGACAAAGAACTTTTTATTATCGCACTGTCAGCCTGTGGAACAGTTTAGATAATGATCTTTAACTTTGTAATTCTTCTTCTAATTTTAAGCGTAAACTTAGGGCCAAATTATTTGTTGCTTTTCTTTCTCCTTGGTCCTAGTTTTTAATCATATATATTTTTTATTGTCCTTTTTTAAAGTTTCTTAGTTTTTATCTTACCCATTTTATCGTACCTTCTTAAAGTTTCTTAGTTGTAATTTTTGTAATTATTTTTAGCTTTATAGATTTAACATTTTTATTATTGTAATTATTAATTGTCACTGAAAAGCCCTCTTGGGGAGTGTCAATAAAGTTTGTATTGTATTGTATTGTACGATGGCACTCTAGCCCTTGCTGATCAAGAAAAAGTTTGTATCATGAACTCTTACTTCACAACTGTAGGGATAAATCTTGCAAGTAATTTTCCACCAATAACTGGCAAAAGACAAGGAGCCAACAGCAGCCCCAAAGATAATAGGACTGTACCCCTGCTTAAAGAGGTTCACGTTTCAGGTCTGGCAATACGAAACAAACTTGAAGCGCTGAATGCCAACAAATTGATGGGACCCGACAACATTCAACCAAAGCTACTGAAATTAGCAGGAGGCGCTATCATTCCCTCCTTGGAAAGTTTACATCGATATAGCATACAAACCAAAACTGTCTTTACTAGTTAGAAAACAGCAAAAATTACCCCTGTTTTCAAAAAGGACAAAGAAACGGATAGGGGCAACTATCGACCAATCTCCTTGCTAAGCGTCCTGAGGAAGATCCTCAAATCCTTAGTAAATGATGCACTTGTACATTACTCCTTTAAAGAGAATGTGGAACTAATCTCAGACAAACGATGGGCCTACCGCGCTGGTTACTCGACAGAATTGTCACTGATACACCTAACTGAAACGTGGAGGAGGGCAGTTGATTCTGGATTAGTGGTAGCAGTGGCCTTTATTGATTTTAAAAAGGCGTTCAACAGTGTATGTCATACTGTTCTTGAAACAAAGCTGGAAAGAGAATTTGGCATTACAGGCCCCCGTTTGGACTGGCTAAAGAGCTACCTAAAGGGAAGGCAGCAAGTGACAATTGTAAATGGTGTTCCTTCAGGAATACTTCCAGTGTCATACGGCATACTGCAAGGGTCAGTTTTGGGACCTACGCTTTTCTCAATGTTTACGAATGACTTGCCAACGTCTGTTGTGTCAGGATTGGTGTATATGTTTGCTGATGACATTACCATTTATTACATCGGTACATCAGCAGATGAAGCCACTGCACAACTAAGCTTAGCAATGCACGAGCTGTATTCATGGTGTCTCGCTAACAAGCTAACACCCCACCCAGGTAAAAGCGAAGCAATGCTCATCAGCAGAAGGACCCCTATAGGGCTTATTTCTCTGATCTTCATCAGAGGACACACTATCAAATGGGTAATAAAAACACGCTTACTGGGGATGACAGTTTACCATAAACTCAGCTGGGTCCCTCATACACTGGAACTTAAGAAGAGCTTTGTGAGTAAACCATGCTTACTCAAAAAGCTAAGGTTTCTGCCAAGAACAATGTTACAGGATTTTTATTTGAGGGTTATTTTTCCCAGCGTGAATTATGGCTTTATTTTATGGGGTGCCTGTTGCAACTCCTATAATTTAGATTTTTCAGAAAGGCTACACTGCAGAGCAGCTAGAATTATTTTCAATTTACCAAAAGATATGGCATCTCATGGTGTCCTGGAGCGTGCAGAGTGGTTCACTATTCGTTTTTATTATAAACTAGCTATTTTTAAATGCATGCATAAGGCTTATAACGGAAGGCTGCCTAGCACCCTAACTAACTGTATTGCAAGGAAACGTAATCTGTCATTCTCAATTAGAGCACGCGATTCATTACTGGTACCACGTTTTAACTCTTGTTTTACGAAGGAATCCATTGCATATAGAGGCACTGTCCTTTGGAATATGCTGTCTTCCAGATACACTGACCTTGCTGACACAAGCCTTTGTAACCTTGTAAAAAAGCTCAAAACTTCTGATCTTCTTAAGGCCGCTAAATTTAACGTATTATCATCCTCAACTGCTAGTTTTGAACATGACGATTTTGTATATAATTGAAATTAATTTAGTTTTTCTGTCTTATTGATATATATTGTAAAAGTTCATTTTATTTACATTTTAACTACTGATCTAAGTAATGTATTGTGATTTTTGTAAAAACATTTTATCTATTTTTTAATATCAGCAGCACCCACTTGGAAATTAAAGTTCTCTGCCAATTTAAGTAAAGGTATAGGCGGTAAAAAGGAACAATTTAATGTATCACAAGCCAAGATTCATACATAAATATGAAAGGAAAACCTCTGTGTTAACATCTAAAGTGTCTTCTTGGAGTACCTTAGATGTGGTTATAATGGATTTTTAGAATGGTTTACTTGCTGCAAAGCAGATAGTGAAACTGTGGCCTGAGTGGGGCTTTGAATGGCGACAGACCTCATTTCCGTGTTTTCAAATGTAGAACCCTTTCTTTGCGATCTTCTTTGCATGTCAAGGAAAACTTCTTGATTTCTTCTTTGATGCTGAATACAAGATTGTAGTGAGCATGCCCGACAATTTTTTTTGAAATTTTTTTATTTTATGCTGTTCTGATATCGTACTTTTCTACAATTACATATCCAATCACTTGCACGCCCTCTACAATGCCTTCTTTTCTGCTTTTTACTCCAAACAACTTAATAAAATGATTTATTTCTACTTGAGCATCTTTGGTAGGAACAACAGCAATCCATTGTTCCATGAAAAACAGCTTCTCGCCATTGCAGCATGCAGCGGCTTTGGTTGGATGTTTTCCACGCATTGACAGGCAGTTTACAATTGAAAACTTTCACGCAAAAAAACAAAAAAAAAACCAATAGTTAAAATATCGATCAATCCCTTCTGAAAATCACACTTTCTGTGTGGAGTCCAGTTTTTCCTATCAACCAATCCCAAAATTGAATTAATTCACTCTCCCTGAGGTCATTTTTTAGCGACCATACTGCTGACAAGAAGCCAAGATAACCCTGGGTTCGAGATTGAACTATCCCATGAAAGGTCCTTCAGGTTAACAGACAATAGAGCCGTTGTCTTCAAACAAATCAAACCACAACAACAGTCAAACTTTGATAAAAAACAGAACTTTTCCACAAACTCTGCGGGAATATCACACAATTTAAAACTACTCAAACCGTTTCTTGAGTCGTTGCCATCAAGGTCATAATTTACATCTTTGATTACAGGACTACGCGCATGCCTTTTTTTCTCTCTGATGTATTTTTCCTTTTAATTTTTAACAAGCACAGCGTGTGCCAACTTAATGTGACAGCTTTGAAAGTAAACCAGAGGTCCACCTACAGCCACAATGGTACACGTTTGTTGAGAATGGCAGTCGTTTTGGAAGTTGCTTAATTGGAATGGAATGGAATACATCGCGTTAACAATCCATGTCTGTGACATGATGACACATCTAAGCTCTTGAAATGATACTGTTTGATACTTTGTGCACAATTAAAGAGTTGAGAGCTAGGTAAGTACGAGTCTAAATTCAGCCAAATTGTACAAGTTCACAGTTCAACTTATGTTACAAGTAAGCTAGTGCCACGTAGCCCTTTTACAATATCATACATGCCTAGCAAAGGTTTTGATTACCCTCCAATAGCCAGAAGGGTTTTGAGCGGAATTACGCAAACAATTCCATGTTTGAATTAATTTGGCCACAGTGTTCCATTCTTCAATAACTATTTCCATTCAAGCTTGTTTACATGTACTAGAGTCTTGAGATGCATAAAAATCGAACGCAGCTCCCACGAGGACTTGGGAAAGTTTTCCTTATAAAATTCCCTGTGAAATCAGTATTACTATGTTCCGAAAGTAAAGATGATCCATATCAGACTATGAACCGAGTTCGCTTGTAAACGAGAATACAGTTTTAATTTACTTTGATTTGGAACTCTGGCCAAGCTTAAACGCAGAACTTTTCTAGGACACAGAGAAGCGAATCAACTCCTTTAACCAAGTGCATCAAAAGGTCGATTTTTAAATCTATCATGTTTGTTCGTTCCGAAGTTAGCCTTTTTCTGTGATTAAAAATTAAAAAGAATGTCAATAAGTAAATGCGTAACAGAAGTGACCAAGCAACTATCAATACGCATTGTTTGTGGTATGATTTGGCTCCAAACTTCTTATTCAATGAGCAATTGGAAAAATAAGAAACTCTTTACGGGGTAGAGACCTTTTCTTGTTGAGTCAATAATATTAGGTCAGTCTTAGCCAGTACAGCTTGTTTAGTGCCTGTGAAAGGGGTATTCATTTGAAAAATGAGTGTGAGGGTAACACCTAATTTTTGTCAAGGCAAGAATTAAGTACAGTGGTCTACGTATACAGTTCAACGGTGAAACTGCTTCAATTCAAAAGTTGACCTTTTCATGTGCCAAATATTGTGTATAAGTTATTGCAATTTATTTTGATGTCCAAGAATTCTATTTGTTCTTATATAAAAACAATGGATGCAAGTTCAGAATCTCAGCCACTGAACTTTATCGTTTTGTTACACCCAATTGGATGAGTAAGTCAGTCTACGAAAAGTTCTACTTAGAAAATTGTTATCGAACACTAATTTGAAAAGCTCTGGTCAAAGAAACTGAATGTTATGTTGTGAAAGACAGATTACCAGATGAAGTAAAAGGAAAGAAACATTGAAATGTAATGCCACATTAGCCACAATGCATGGTGGTTATGATTCTGTTGGATTTTCATTCATTTATCTTATGCATTATAAGGAATTTTAAAAGAGCCAAGGAGTTAAGATATGTTCTTTTTTTTCCATTTTTGTATTTATTCACTCAGGAGAAAGGGCACAGAATTTTTTGAGACCTATAGTAAAACCATATTGCATGACCAAGTTATTGAGGAGAGGAGCTTGAAAATTAGGCTTGTGGGAGAGGATTTTCAATTTAGCCCACCAGCCTGGGAGAGTTAGGAGATGGCTGGGCTAAATAAAAAATGTATTACTTTCTGAAACCAGGTAATTCACCAATTCACTGAGCGCCAAAGAAATTAAATAGTGGAATTATCACAATCTTTGGTAGAAATCTATTAATAATTAATTTATACATTTTTAAATAGGAAGAAGACTATCTATCATGATATGGCTATCTCAGCTGATGGGAAACATTGGAATCAAGGTTAAAATTCAGAAAAGGAGTATTTATGCACCCCATCCTCAACAGGTACAAGTTATGAAAGGCAAGTAAAACAGACAGAATCAACTTATTGAAATGGCTTCCACTTGATTAAAGTTCAGGGTGATATTAAAAAAATTCTACAGCACTCAAAGGTTCCTTTTCACTCTCTTATAGACTTTTTTATGTTTCATTGGTAACAGTGTTTTGGCTAACATATTTGTTCTTTTGCAGAAATTCAGACAATTCCCCTGGAGCTTGATTGTAAAGGTTAGTATGTGTGTCCAGTAACTTGTGTCAAGAATTAAACTTGCTTATGATACTAAGACTCATAGGGTGTATTGGAATTAAATTCACTGCAAATCCAAGGCTATCACTTGCAGAGGATTCTAGGCTTAGACTCACTCAAGATGCTTGCTCTTTGACCCTCTGAGGATACTGGTCTTGGACTCGCTGAGGACACCAGGCTTTGACTTGCTGAGGATACTGGACTTTGACTCGCTGAGGATACTAGTCTTTGACTTGCTGAGGATACTGGACTTTGACTTGCTGAGGATACTGGACTTTGATCTGTTGAGGATACTGGTCTTTGACTAGCTGAGGATACCAGACTCTGACTTGCAGAGGATACTGGACTTTGACTAGCTGAGGATAATGGGCTTTGACTCAATGAGGATACTGGACTCTGTAAGTCTGGCTCACTGAGAATAGGTCTGGTTGACTCACTGAGAATAGGTCTGGTTGACTCGCTGAGAATAAGTCTGGTTGACTCGCTGGGAATATGTCTGGTTGGCTCGCTGAGAATAATTCTGGTTGGCTCGCTGAGAATAGGTCTAGTTGGCTCGCAGAGAATAAGTCTAGTTGGCTCGCTGAGAACAAGGCTGGTTGGCTCGCTGAGAACAAGGCTGGTTGGCTCGCTGAGAACAAGGCTGGTTGGCTCACTGGGAATAGGTCTGGTTGGCTCACTGGGGATAAGTCTGGCTGGCTCAATGAGAGTAAGTTTGATCGGATCATAGACTTAGAGAACGTAGCATTGTCTCAATCTTATTTTTCTCTGTCACAAATTATATAATTTAACTACGTCACAATGCGCGCGACATGTGATTAAAACAACAAGAAAGGAAGAAGACGTTACGTTTACTCGTCTTATTTTGTTGTTACAGTTAACATTAACAGTTGTAACATTGGTGCCGTGACCAGCACGGACAAGATATAATGAGCGAAGAAGAAATAAAGAAATGGAGATCCATCCAAGGAGCATACAAGGGACACTGCACCCAAGACTTCAAAAGAGCGAAAAAACTAATAACTTCGGAGACTCCAGATCAAGCAGACTTGGAGGCGCTGGTAGACAGGCTCACGCGAAGAGCCGAAGAAATAGCACGCATGGATGCCAAAATCGTGATGTCCTTGGAGACAGAAGAGGACATACAACTAGACACAGAAACGGCGCTGTCGTTCCAAGACGACATATCATACTGGCAATTCAAAATCGGACGACTCCTTAAGAGCAAACAAGACACGCCGGTGAGCCAATTCCATTATAGTAGTTTAAAACAAGAACCCGCTCCACGAATGCATATCAATTTACCTAAAATAAACATAAAATCATTCAGAGGAGACCCACTTCAATGGCTCACATTCTGGGACAGCTTTTGCGCCACTATCGATAAAAATCACGGACTAAGCAATATTGAAAAAATGAATTACTTAAATGGAATGCTTAAGGGAGAAGCGGCACACGCTATCTCTGGACTGCCACTGACTGAAGAAAATTATAAAAAAGCAATTGAGCTATTACAGGAGCGCTTCAGCAAACCACAAATTTTGACGAATGCTTACATGGAGTCCTTATCCAAGATCGACGCACCACCAGCTGACACCAAAAATCTCAGAACGTTTTACGACACTTGCGAGGCAAACATTCGCGGTTTAGAGGCACTTGGAGTAAAAACGGAAACTTATGGAAGCTTATTGATTCCCATTCTTCTAAAGAAAATACCCGAAGAAATTCCGTACTCAATATTTAGAGCTGACCCTTCAGTGGACAGTTCCCTAGACAGATTGAGAATCACCATGCGACAGGAAATCGAAACTCGCGAGAAGGGCCATATGTCCTCTCCAAAACCAACCACAGAGGACGAAGTGCTTGTGCCAACAGCTGGTGCGCTACTAACCGGTACACAACAACGACACGGAACTTACAACGGCAAACAAAAGACACCTAGGCCTTGCACGTAATGTGCAGGGACACATCGAGCTGAAAAGTGCGACAAGATTAAAACAGCAGAGGAACGACGATCCTGACGTAAAACTCCCATGGAAGCTAAACAAACACAATCTACCAGCAAATTACAATTTGAGCAAGAGCAGACTGAACAGCTTACAAAACAGTCTAAACAGGAAAGACCCAGAACTTATAACAAAGTATAACGAACAACTCCTTGAACAACTTAACCTCGGGTTCATAGAAAAAGTTCAAAACCTCAATCATCACAAAAACAGCCGACCCTTAACATACCCTTACACAGACATCAACGATACCTCTCCTCTGCTCCTCTGATGCCATCACATTTCTTATGTGGATTCTGTCTCCTAACATTACCAGACACGAATGCTAAAGAAAACGAAACATATCCAGACTATATTCCATCTGAGACGTCAAGAAAAGCACTGGCAAAAAGGGCTCAGTATCAGAAAACACTAATAAACACCTTCTGGACACGATGGAAAACTGAATATCTGACAAGTCTGCAAGAACATCACACTTGTCGAAAGAGAATATTAAACAAAAAGGCAGTTGCTATTGGAGATGTTGTTCTCATACACGATAACACACCACGAAACCAATGGAAAATAGGTGTGGTAACTAGCGTACACATGGGGAAAGATGGACTCGTAAGATCTGTATCTCTAAGAGTACCTTCTGGAAAGGAACTATCACGACCTATAGAGAAACTTTATCCGTAAGAGATGTCAGACATACTGACTAACGAAAACATAGAAAAAGCTCCTGAAAATGATATACGACGTCCTCCTTTACAACTTGCCGCTCAGAAGGCAGCACAGAGAATCAAGGAACAAATAGAATAACCACTGATATTGAAGGGAACAATATAAGACATTCTTTTTACTCTTTACACATGAATGTATACTATATTTTCAGCTTATCTTGTCGGCCCGGGAGAGTGTCATAAATTATGTAATTTAACTACGTCACAATGCGCGTGACGTAATTAAAACAACAACAATAAAGGAAGACGACATTACGTTTACTCGTCTTATTTTGTCGTTACAACATTAACAGTTGTAACATTCTCTACTTATCAGAGTAAAGTGCAAAGGAAGAAAATGAAATTGATTGATCATCTTAGTCAGAAGTGTTAGTTTTAAACCACAAAATATGTGAATTATTTTTGTATTGCTATAATAAAAAATTATTTTCACCAACAATTCTGAAATAGGGTTAGTTATAGTGGGAGTATGTCTTTCTGTCACAAGAAAGACATACTCCCACTTGTTTTTCCTCCTTTTTTCCTAGTAGAACTGTCTAAGGACAAGCGATGGATGTGTGCTGCGTAACAATGAAGCTGTGCATGAAAAGAAGTGGTAGGTGTGAATGATTTTTGTCTCACATTTGAACTTTAAAGTAACATCCCCCACCTTTCCTCCACAAAAAGTTTACCAGAATACAAAATGCCAAGTTGTCAGCCCTGTCTCTTACAAGTTAATTGATTTTTGGCACTTAATTTAGTTTGGATGGAATGTCGTACCAGTGTGGTCAGTGTTTGTTAGTTTGTCAGTGCCAATGGTGATTAGAAAAACTGTTGGTAAATTATAGTCAGCAGTCAAGTTTTTACATGACAATTACCTATTTTGTATAACAACTAAATAACTTTTAAGTTAACTTATAACTTTTAATTAAGTACATGCATTACATATACACATATTACATAAATACATTTTATTATTATTATTTTTATTATTATACTGTATTTGTCATTTTAGAGAAGATTCAGTGATGATCCCCAAGATCCTCATGATGCCTACTGGCAAAAAATAAGGGAAAAGGGCAAGACAAATGTAACTGTTCAGAAGAGGTGCCTGCAGTTAAGGGTATGACAAAGACCTAATTGCATTCCTGAATTTTGTTTGGACAGTATTTCCTATCATGTTAATGTTAGTGCCTTTTAATAAGTACTGAAATTTTGTGTATATGTTTTCTTAGGCAGACACTTTGTACCAGAAACACTATTATGATGTCATAGTGTTTTTTCATTCCTGTGTCCCTGGTCAGGAGACTGACCGCCACATTTTTTATTATTATGGCACTCCAGGTAGTGGCAGGCTTTTCTTAAAGGATGCAGAAAATGAAAAGTCCCAGAGTCATGGAGCAACAGTGCTCAGAGCATTGAAACGATTTTATTATGGTACGATCTTACACTTGGAAATAATAAAATGTTGCATATTACTACTTGTGTGGATCTAAAACCTACTGAGTAAGAAGCATTCTTTATTAACTTGAAATATAAAAAGAAACACACCCAGAAACAAAACGTCTGGACTTACAATTTCTAACGTACTATCTACCTATTATGTATATGCAAGACTTGTTTATTGAAAACAATTTCAAACATAATAATAATCAACATATAAACTGTAATTTCTACACTTACTGCAATATTTTTAAATTTATTTATTCCCTGTCAGTACACTAATTACAGTGTAACACTTTTTCCAACATGACATTAGCACTACTACATATCAATTTCCGGTTTTCATCGTAATGCCATCAAAAATAATATTTGTTTTTATGTTGCCAAACCAAGTTATATACTTTTTTCATGATTGTTTCTAAAGTTTTCTAGTTTAGTTCAGTTATTTTTTACAATCTTTTCTCATTTTTTTCTCAGTCTGTTTCAGAACAACCTCCATCTGAAAGAACCACTGGTAGTTCCTCTGTTAATCCAGCAGGTATCGTATTTGAAACATATCCCTTGAATCTTGCTTGTTAATATGGGATCTTTATAAAAGCTGACTGTTCTCTTTCTTTGTACAATGTCTCCTCATGTTTCTTCTTATATCACTACAGCTGCTCGTGATGGGACGTCCACTGAGCCCACCAATTCTGAGTCTGTTAATCCAGCAGGTATAGTATTTGAAACATATCCCTTCCAAGAATCTTGCTTGTTAATATGGGATCTTTATAAAAGCTGACTATTTTCTTTCTTCGTACAATGTCTCCTCATGTCTCTTCTTATATCATTACAGCTGCTCGTGCGGGGCCGTCCGCTAAGCCCTCCAATTCTGAGTCTGTAAATCCAGCAGGTATAGTATTTGAAACATATGCTTTGAATCTTGCTTGTTAATATAAGATCTTTATAAAAGCTGACTATTTTCTTTCTTTGTACAATGTCTCCTCATGTCTCTTCTTATATCATTACAGCTGCTCGTGCGGGGCCGTCTGCTAAGCCCACCAATTCTGATTCTGTTAATCCAGCAGGTATAGTATTTGAAACATATCCCTTCCAAGAATCTTGCTTGTTAATATGGGATCTTTATAAAAGCTGACTGTTTTCTTTCTTTGTACAATGTCTCCTCATGTCCCTTCTTATATCATTACAGCTTCTCGTGTGAGGCTGTCCGCTAAGCCTTCCAATTCTGAGTCTGTTAATCCAGCAGGTATAGTATTTGAAACATATGCTTTGAATCTTGCTTGTTAATATGAGATCTTTATAAAAGCTGACTAATTTCTTTCTTTGTACAATGTCTCCTCATGTCTCTTCTTATATCATTACAGCTGCTCGTGCGGGGCCGTCCGCTAAGCCCTCCAATTCTGAGTCTGTAAATCCAGCAGGTATAGTATTTGAAACATATGCTTTGAATCTTGCTTGTTAATATAAGATCTTTATAAAAGCTGACTATTTTCTTTCTTTGTACAATGTCTCCTCATGTCTCTTCTTATATCATTACAGCTGCTCTTGCGGGGCCGTCTGCTAAGCCCAACAATTCTGATTCTGTTAATCCAGCAGTTATAGTATTTGAAACATATCCCTTCCAAGAATCTTGCTTGTTAATATGGGATCTTTATGAAAGCTGACTGTTTTCTTTCTTTGTACAATGTCTCCTCATGTCCCTTCTTATATCATTACAGCTTCTCGTGTGAGGCTGTCCGCTAAGCCTTCCAATTCTGAGTCTGTTAATCCAGCAGGTATAGTATTTGAAACATATGCTTTGAATCTTGCTTGTTAATATGAGATCTTTATAAAAGCTGACTAATTTCTTTCTTTGTACAATGTCTCCTCAAGTCTTTTCTTATATCATAACAGCTGCTCGTGCGAGGCCTTCCGCTAAGCCCACCAATTCTGAGCCTGTTAATCCAGCAGGTATATTATTTGAAACATATCCCTTGAATCTTGCTTGTTAATATGGGATTTTTTTAAAAGCTGACTGTTTTCTTTCTTTGTACAATGTCTCCTCATGTCTCTTCTTATATCATTACAGCTGCTCGTGCGGGGCCATCTGCTTAGCCCACAAATTCTGATTCTGTTAATCCAGCAGGTATAGTATTTGAAACATATCCCTTCCAAGAATCTTGCTATTTAAAATGTGATCTCTATAAAAGCTGACTGTTTTCTTTCTTTGTACAATGTCTACTCATGTCTCTTCTTATATCATTACAGCTGCTCGTGTGAGGCCGTCCGCTAAGCCCACCAATTCCGAGCCTGTTAATCCAGCAGGTATAGTATTTGAAACATATCCCTTCCAAGAATCTTGCTTGTTAAAATGTGATCTCTATAAAAGCTGACTGTTTCCTTTCTTTGTACAATGTCTACTCATGTCTCTTCTTATATCATTACAGCTGCTTGTGTGAGGCCGTCCGCTAAGCCCACCAATTCTGAGTCTGTTAATCCAGCAGGTATAGTTTTTGAAACATATCCCTTGAATCTTGCTTGTTAATATGGGATCTTTATAAAAGCTGACTGTTTTCTTTCTTTGTACAATGTCTCCTCATGTCTTTTCTTATACCATTACAGCTGCTCGTGCGAGGCCATCCGCTAAGCCCACCAATTGTGATTCTGTTCATCCAGCAGGTATAGTATTTGAAACATATCCCTTCCAAGAATCTTGCTTGTCAATATGGGATCTTTATAAAAGCTGACTGTTTTCTTTCTTTGTACAATGTCTCC